GGTTGAGTGTAAACAGGACCCATGAATGGTTGTGTAAACAGGACCCATGAATGGTTGAGTGTAAACAGGACCCCATGAATGGTTGAGTGTAAACAGGACCACATGAATGGTTGAGTGTAAACAGGACCCCATGAATGGTTGAGTGTAAACAGGACCCATGAATGGTTGAGTGTAAACAGGACCCATGAATGGTTGAGTGTAAACAGGACCCATGAATAGTTGAGTGTAAACAGGACCCCATGAATGGTTGAGTGTAAACAGGACCCATGAATGGTTGAGTGTAAACAGGGCCCATGAATGGTTGAGTGTAAACAGGACCCCATGAATGGTTGAGTGTAAACAGGACCCCATGAATGGTTGAGTATAAACAGGACCCCATGAATGGTTGAGTGTAAACAGGACCCCATGAATGGTTGAGTGTAAACAGGACCCCATGAATGGTTGAGTGTAAACAGGACCCATGAATGGTTGAGTGTAAACAGGACCCCATGAATGGTTGAGTGTAAACAGGACCCCATGAATGGTTGAGTGTAAACAGGACCCCATGAATGGTTGAGTGTAAACAGGACCCCATGAATGGTTGAGTGTAAACAGGACCCCATGAATGGTTAAGTGTAAACAGGACCCCCATGAATGGTTGAGTGTAAACAGGACCCATGAATGGTTGAGTATTAACAGGACCCATGAATGGTTGAGTGTAAACAGGACCCCATGAATGGTAAAGTGTAAACAGGACCCATGAATGGTTGAGTGTAAACAGGACCCATGAATGGTTGAGTGTAAACAGGACCCCATGAATGGTTGAGTGTAAACAGAACCCAATATTGGTTGAGTATTAACAGGACCCCATGAATGGTTGTGTAAACAGGACCCCATGAATGGTTGAGTGTAAACAGGACCCCATTAATGGTTAAGTGTAAACAGGACCCCATGAATAGTTGAGTGTAAACAGGACCCCATGAATAGTTGAGTGTAAACAGGACCCCATGAATGGTTGAGTGTAAACAGGACCCCATGAATGGTTGAGTGTAAACAGGACCCGTGAATGATTGAGTGTAAACAGGACCTAATAATGGTTGAGTATAAACAGGACCCATGAATGGTTGAGTGTAAACAGGACCCATGAATGGTTGAGTATTAACAGGACCCATGAATGGTTGAGTATAAACAGGACCCCATGAATGGTTGAGTGTAAACAGGACCCCATGAATGGTTAAGTGTAAACAGGACCCCATGAATGGTTGAGTATAAACAAGACCTAATAATGGTTGAGTATAAACAGGACCCATGAATGGTTGAGTATAAACAGGACCCCATGAATGGTTGAGTGTAAACAGGACCCCATGAATGGTTGAGTGTAAACAGGACCCCATGAATGGTTGAGTATAAACAGGACCCCATGAATGGTTGAGTATTAACAGGACCCCATTAATGGTTGAGTGTAAACAGGCCCCATGAATGGTTGAGTATTAACAGGACCCCATGAATGGTTGAGTGTAAACAGGACAAAAATTTAGAGATGGGACGGGGGGAAAGGAATGGTGCCCAACCACTTGTGGACGGTCGGGGATTGAACGCCGACCTGCATGAGGCGAGACCGTCGCTCTACCGTCCATCCCAAGTGGTTGGGGTTGAGGAGGAAGACAGAAGACCATACACTATGGCCACACTGGCCCACACACTATGGCCACTCTGGCCCACACACTATGGCCACTCTGGCCCACACACTATGGCCACTCTGGCCCACACACTATGGCCACTCTGGCCCACACACTATGGCCACTCTGGCCCACACACTATGGCCACTCTGGCCCACACACTATGGCCACTCTGGCCCACACACTATGGCCACTCTGGCCCACACACTATGGCCACTCTGGCCCACACACTATGGCCACTCTGGCCCACACACTATGGCCACTCTGGCCCACACACTATGGCCACTCTGGCCCACACACTATGGCCACTCTGGCCCACACACTATGGCCACTCTGGCCCACACACTATGGCCACTCTGGCCCACACACTATGGCCACTCTGGCCCACACACTATGGCCACTCTGGCCCACACACTATGGCCACTCTGGCCCACACACTATGGCCACTCTGGCCCACACACTATGGCCACTCTGGCCCACACACTATGGCCACTCTGGCCCACACACTATGGCCACTCTGGCCCACACACTATGGCCACTCTGGCCCACACACTATGGCCACTCTGGCCCACACACTATGGCCACTCTGGCCCACACACTATGGCCACTCTGGCCCACACACTATGGCCACTCTGGCCCACACACTATGGCCACTCTGGCCCACACACTATGGCCACTCTGGCCCACACACTATGGCCACTCTGGCCCACACACTGGGCCCACACACTATGGCCACTCTGGCCCACACACTATGGCCACACTGGCCCACACACTATGGCCACTCTGGCCCACACACTATGGCCACTCTGGCCCACACACTATGGCCACTCTGCCCACACACTATGGCCACTCACTCTGGCCCACACACTATGGCCACTCTGGCCCACACACTATGGCCACTCTGGCCCACACACTATGGCCACTCTGGCCCACACACTATGGCCACTCTGGCCCACACACTATGGCCACTCACACTGGCCCACACACTATGGCCACTCTGGCCCACACACTATGGCCACTCACACTGGCCCACACACTATGGCCACTCTGGCCCACACACTATGGCCACTCTGGCCCACACACTATGGCCACTCACACTGGCCCACACACTATGGCCACTCACACTGGCCCACACACTATGGCCACTCTGGCCCACACACTATGGCCACTCACACTGGCCCACACACTATGGCCACTCTGGCCCACACACTATGGCCACTCTTGCCCACACACTATGGCCATTCACACTGGCCCACACAATATGGCTATTTATGCCATTTGGCCTTATGATCTTAAGGCCAAAGGAAAAATGCCATTTGCAAACCTGAAACCAATATTTGGGGTTTGGTATTTTCTCCAAAACTGTTGTTTTGGAGAAAACCCGAGGGTGAGAAAGTAAGGCTGATTGTGGATTTAATGAGTCTGAAACTTGGTAGGCTTTCAGCCTTAATGGTCTAACCAAATATTAAAAATAATAAACCCGTACGATACGGAGACTCAGAGCACCCAATCACGGAAGTTTTAAGAGATTTGGAATTAAATCATTTACAATGTGTGTTTACAACTTTCGTGGTGTACCTATTTGTTAATATATTCTAATTATCACTACACAAAACAAGATTTTTAATTACGTTAATATACAATCTATTTACGACTTGCTGTGAGGTTAATGTCTTCTATACCAATATTATCATTGAGATTCATTAACATGATTCAATTTTAAACCAATTCTCTTCAAAAAATACTCAAGTTCAGAAACAATGTTCAAACTTGTAATGACCCCATTTGTTGACTGCTAATAAGGGGCCTAGCTACAGTACCCCTTTGTCCTACAAAGGTCACCACTGAACAGGAGTTGAACCCCGAAGCTGTGACTGAACCTTCCATAGGTTGATACCTTTCTTGCTCCTCCACCTTATTGTGCAAGCTACCGTCTCGGACCCAAGGTTGCATATCATCTTGCACACCTGTGGAAAGGTTGAGAGGGGTATGTGAACCCTTGTATCCTCTCAAGAGTCCACCATACTAAGGGTCCGACTCGTGCCCCTTTGTTCTCAGGTGAATGGGGGGAAAAGGGGCCTGACAGCTTGGACAGTGGAGGGTGGATGATACCCCTTATAGTTCGTGATAGTTGCTTCAGTATCCACCTACTCCTTTTCAACTGATTTCATTGTTTCAAGAGCTGAATCTCCGGTTCTCAGTGACAGCATCAGAGAACCAGACAGCCGCTGGGAAGCGGGTGCAGAGAACACACTGTTTCTCTCACTCACTGACAGCAAAAGCTACCTCACTGACAGCTAGATACACCTCGACCCCTTTTTATTTTGAGAAACTAAAAAAGCTCTGCGTGGTAAATGTAATAATAACATTGAGGCCTCTCCCCGCCCCCCCCCCCCCCTTACAACTTAAGTCTCTCCCCGCCCCCCCTTTACAACTTAAGTCTCTCCCCGCCCCCCCTTTACAACTTAAAACTTGAATTCACGTAAGTGCTGCAACTTACAGCCATTCTGTAACTAGTATTATGTACTCTGGACCGCCTAATAGGTACTTGGAGTGAAACAAAATGACTCCTGAAGCCTGAAAAGTGTCATACGAGACTTCAGTCATAACAGATGGTTACAGTCTCTGTAACCATCATAACAGGATGGTTACAGTGATGAAGATAGGGGTAGTTAAGATGGGGGTAGTTAAGATGGGTAGTTAAGATGGGGGTAGTTAAGATGGGTAGTTAAGACGTGGAGTCTGTCGCCTGAGTAGCTCCAGATTTCAACCACCCTTCAGTTATTATGTGACAATACTGCATTCCGTCCTCCTAATAGAACGTCGCATTTTGACGTATAGTCTACCTAAAGCCAAAAAAAATCGTCGTACTAGAAAATAGAAGCGGCTGGCGAAATTGACGTACTGTCCCGTTTTCTGTTTTGGGTCCTCTGGTAGGTTAAGATAAGGGCACTTTAGTACCACAGTTTCTTGACGTTGGAGAACCTGAGGAGGAGGACGGGCTGGAGATTGAACCATGGAGCAAGGGTGCAGGAGAAGGTGGCAATACTGTCTCACCTTGGATTCAAGGATATTGGTGAGAGTGGTAAGGGAAGCTGCTACCCATGCAGCAGGTTTACCCCTCTCCACGTCGTTGAAATTGTCCAAAGGAAAGGCAATCGCCAATACGCTTCGTTCCAGCGCCGTCGCAGGAGCTGCCAGAACGAGGTTGAAAGTAACGAGCCTTAGATGCTCCAGCTCCGGATTCTTCCTCAAGGTCTGATCTCCTGAAGGTCCCCGTCTCAGAAGAGGGAATGGCCGCCAGGCAATGGAGGTTTGAGATCAGGTTTTTCCTTCCCGTAGACAGCCTTTCCTTGGCTGTCGAACCCCATCTATCCGGAGCAGCGGGTTGAAAGGCGCCAGGGCCACGAGGACGAGGACCTTGGTGCTGCTACTCCTGCAGCAGGCTGGGAGGCTTGCTGAGGACCCCGCATGGGCCCTCAACTATCATCTGCTGGGACGGACTGTCATCTGCTGGGACGGACTCTCATCTGCTGGGACGAACTGTCATCTGCTGGGACGAACTGTCATCTGCTGGGACGAACTCTCATCTGCTGGGACGAACTGTCATCTGCTGGGACGAACTGTCATCTGCTGGGACGAACTGTCATCTGCTGGGACGAACTGTCATCTGCTGGGACGAACTGGCATCTGCTGGAGGGAACTGTCATCTGCTGGGAGGAACTGCCATCTGCTGGAGGGAACTGTCATCTGCTGGGGCGAACTGTCATCTGCTGGGGCGGACTGGCATCTGCTGGGACGAACTGTCATCTGCTGGTACGAACTGTCATCTGCTGGGACGAACTGGCATCTGCTGGGACGAACTGTCATCTGCTGGGACGAACTGTCATCTGCTGGGACGAACTGTCATCTGCTGGGACGAACTGTCATCTGCTGGGACGAACTGTCATCTGCTGGGACGAACTGTCATCTGCTGGGACGAACTGGCATCTGCTGGGACGAACTGTCATCTGCTGGGACGAACTGTCATCTGCTGGGACGAACTGTCATCTGCTGGGACGAACTGTCATCTGCTGGGACGAACTGTCATCTGCTGGGACGAACTGTCATCTGCTGGGACGAACTGTCATCTGCTGGGACGAACTGTCATCTGCTGGGACGAACTGTCATCTGCTGGGACGAACTGTCATCTGCTGGGACGAACTGTCATCTGCTGGGACGAACTGTCATCTGCTGGGACGAACTGTCATCTGCTGGGACGAACTGTCATCTGCTGGGACGAACTGTCATCTGCTGGGACGAACTGTCATCTGCTGGGACGAACTGTCATCTGCTGGGACGAACTGTCATCTGCTGGGACGAACTGTCATCTGCTGGGACGAACTGTCATCTGCTGGGACGGACTGTCATCTGCTGGGACGGACTGTCATCTGCTGGGACGGACTGTCATCTGCTGGGGCGAACTGTCATCTGCTGGGGCGAACTGTCATCTGCTGGGACGAACTGTCATCTGCTGGGACGAACTGTCATCTGCTGGGACGAACTGTCATCTGCTGGGACGAACTGTCATCTGCTGGGACGAACTGTCATCTGCTGGGACGAACTGTCATCTGCTGGGACGAACTGTCATCTGCTGGAGGGAACTGTCATCTGCTGGGACGAACTGTCATCTGCTGGGACGAACTGTCATCTGCTGGGACGAACTGTCATCTGCTGGGACGAACTGGCATCTGCTGGCACGAACTGTCATCTGCTGGGACGAACTGTCATCTGTTGGGACGAACTGTCATCTGCTGGGGCGGACTGTCATCTGCTGGGACGAACTGTCATCTGCTGGGACGAACTGGCATCTGCTGGGACGAACTGGCATCTGCTGTAGGGAACTGTCATCTGCTGGGACGAACTGTCATCTGCTGGGACGAACTGTCATCTGCTGGGGCGGACTGTCATCCGCTGAAGCGAACTGTCATCTGCTGGGACGAACTGTCTGCTGGGGCGGACTGGCATCTGCTGGGGCGGACTGTCATCCGCTGAAGCGAACTGTCATCTGCTGGGACGAACTGTCATCTGCTGGGACGAACTGTCATCTGCTGGGACGAACTGTCATCTGCTGGGACGAACTGTCATCTGCTGGGACGAACTGTCATCTGCTGGGACGAACAGTCATCTGCTGGGACGAACTGGCATCTGCTGCTGGGACGAACATCCGCTGAAGCGAACTGGCATCTGCTGGGGCGGACTGTCATCTGCTGGAGGGAACTGTCATCTGCTGGGACGAACAGTCATCTGCTGGGACGAACTGTCATCTGCTGGGACGGACTGGCATCTGCTGGGACGAACAGTCATCTGCTGGGACGAACAGTCATCTGCTGGGACGAACTCTGATCTGCTGGGGCCCAATGTCAACTGAAACCACAGTGGATAGACCACTCAGCTATCTACCCCTTCATTCCCCAGCTCGCCAAACCCTCTGGTCTTCATTCATTCCTCCTCTCCCAAGTCCTTCATTCCCAAACCGTTCTCGCCGAACCCTTTGGTCCCGAAAGCAAAGGAGAGTAGTGATGGTTGCAATACTGTTGGGACGCATGGGGCATGGGTATAGGGCATGGGGCATGGGCATGGGGCATGGGGCACTGGTATAGGGTCATGGGGCATGGGGCATGGGTATATAGTCATGGGGCATGGGGCATGGGGCACGGGGCATCAGGAGAAAGCAGTTAGTCACAACAGCGTCTCTCTTCACAACTGACTTTTCCTCAGAGAACGTTGCAGGAAAATTTTCTGCCAAACAGAAATGTAAAAAAAATCAAAAACTTTTCAGTTTCAGCAATAATGAGCGAAGTGATCCTAGCAGCAATTTCCACATCAATCGTGATCACCGCGTGGATGACACTGGAGCTCGGGAGCGCCTTCTACCACCGACTGCTGCGGCAACAGGAGAAAGTCCAGGCGGCCTTGGCGGCCACACAGCACCTCAAGTCCAGACGGCCGTTCTGGGCATTCAACCGCTCGGCGGAGACGAGCGACAAGTCCGACGAGATGGCCTCGACGCGGGGCAGCCACGTGGTTTGGACTTGGTTAGCCAGCCTGCCGATCCTAGGGCACCTGGTGCCCAATCACCTGACCGTGCCCGTGGACAGCGGCTGGACTTGGCTGCCGTTCGTCGGGTCATTCATCCGGCTGCGGCATTTGAGGCGTCAGGTGACCAACCAGGGCATCGACTGCCAAGTGGTCGACTGGTCGCTAATCATCGTATGGGCTGTCCTAGAGAACGCCCTCCTGCTGCACGTCGTAGGGCTCCACAACACGTTCATCCGACCTAACAAGCTTCCGGAACGAGGGATCTACGCCCTAACGACTTGGTTGGCCTCCAAACCAGTCATTGGACCCCTGATTCCTGAACGTATGCGTCAACGACCGTATTCTCTGGTGAGTGATTCCAGACGTTCCTGGCTCAGCCGCCTGCCGTTGATAGGCAAGTTCGTCTCTGAACGGCCCAGTCACTCAGGGAACGGCATATGGCCTAGTTCCAGTATCTTCTTCGGCTATTTCCTGCCTATTATATTAGGCGCCCTGATTGGATACATCCTGTGGCACAGGGAATGGTACAAGCAGTGGCTCACTGACTGGTACAAGAACGAGCATGTGGAGTGGTTCACACAGTGGTGCTCTGAGTGGTACTCTGAGTGGTACGGTAGAGTAACAGGCCGTTCCATTACCCACGACTCCCAAGATAGCATCACTCCCCAGGATAGCATCACCCCCCACGATAACGACACTCCCCAGGATAGCGACACTCCCCAAGATAGCATCACTCCCCAGGACGACGCCACTCACCAGGACGATATCACTCCCCAAAACAAAGACGGCCAGTCTTCCCCATCCGAAGGCAAATCCTCCCCAGATGACCTAACCCCAAGGGCACCCATGGGCAACTGCAAGTTCTGGGTAGAAATCCCCAATAAGCAAGGTTCCCCTTACCTCTACTCAGAAGACCCAGGGCGCCCCTGGTGGGAAAAGCAAGAGCAACAGAAGCGAGAACAGGAGAGGCGAGAACAGCATAAGCGTGAACAACAGAAGCGTGCGAAGCAGGAGCGTGAGCGACAGAAGCGTGAACAACAGAAACGACTGCAACAGAAGCGACTGCAACAGAAACTGATCCAACAGGAGACAGGACAACAGGATAGCATGACCATAATCAATATGGTAGAGAAAGAGAGTGGAGTCAGTTTCGCTTGCATTCCTGCATTCACAATGACCGCCTGGTGGGAAAAGGAGCCCAATCGCATGCACAACAGTGCGGAACAGGAAGCGTTGCAAAAGAAGAAAGAACAACAGAAGCAGGAACAACAGAAGCGAGAACAGGAGAGGCGAGAGCAGCAGAAGCGTGAACAACAGAAACGACTACAACAGAAACGACTACAACAGAAACGACTACAACAGAAACTGATGCAACAGGAGACAGGACAACAGGATAGCATGACCATAATCAATATGGTAGAGAAAGAGAGTGGAGTCAGTTTCGCTTGCATTCCTGCATTCACAATGACCGCCTGGTGGGAAAAGGAGCCCAATCGCATGCACAACAGTGCGGAACAGGAAGCGTTGCAAAAGAAGAAAGAACAACAGAAGCAGGAACAACAGAAGCGAGAACAGGAGAGGCGAGAGCAGCAGAAGCGTGAACAACAGAAACGACTACAACAGAAACGACTACAACAGAAACGACTACAACAGAAACTGATGCAACAGGAGACAGGACAACAGGATAGCATGACCATAATCAATATGGTAGAGAAAGAGAGTGGAGTCAGTTTCGCTTGCATTCCTGCATTCACAATGACCGCCTGGTGGGAAAAGGAGCCCAATCGCATGCACAACAGTGCGGAACAGGAAGCGTTGCAAAAGAAGAAAGAACAACAGGAGCAGGAACAACAGGAGCAGGAACAACAGAAGCGAGAACAGGAGAGGCGAGAGCAGCAGAAGCGTGAACAACAGAAACGACTGCAACAGAAGCGACTGCAACGGAAGCGACTGCAACAGAAACTGATCCAACAGGAGACAGGACAACAGGATAGCATGACCATAATCAATATGGTAGAGAAAGAGAGTGGAGTGAGTTTCGCTTGCATTCCTGCATTCCCAATGACCGCCTGGTGGGAAAAGGAGCCCAATCGCATGCACAACAGTGCGGAACAGGAAGCGTTGCAAAAGAAGAAAGAGCAACAGAAGCAGGAACAACAGAAGCGAGAAGAGCAGAGGCGAGAACAGCAGGAGCGTGAGCGACAGAAGCGTGAACAACAGAAGCGTGAACAACAGAAGCGTGAACAACAGAAGCGTGAACAACAGAAGCGTGAACAGCAGTGACCGCCTGGTGGGAAAAGGAGCCCAATCGCTCCCGTCCAATCCAAGAACATGAACGACCACAGCGGAAGCTGAACGCCACAAAATCCAACAAAAATGTG